CAGTGGCGTGTATTCATAAGAAGCAAGGTAAGCATTGCTTACCCTATAACAATGATTCCCTTCCAAATAAAAATATCGTATTTAATTAACATATTATTTAATTCAATCGTGGATAGCATTGTGCATTTTTTTTTGTCCCAGTTAATTTGTGAAACTTGCAAGACGTGCATTTTCCGCTTGAAAATCTATCCCTCAAGTACGCAATATTCCACTGCAGTTCCCCCACGCTCACAGCGTCAATGGTATGCCATTGCCAGACGTAAGATGAGAACAAATAATTTAACTTATGTTACTCCCCTTTTTCCAAACCCATGTAAATAAGGTTCAGATCAATTTAATAAGCTGTGGAAAGCATTCTGATGCTGGAATGTCCCCTCAATAATATTTGTTATTATCAGTCAGTATAATTAATTGTGCTAGAAATTTGGACAACGTAAGCACAGCGTCCTCCCTGGTCCCCCTCCCCCACCCCCTATACTCGCTGCCAGCAGCACCGCAGCATTACCAGTTCATTAATTTTTTTTTCAATGATAAATTCGTATCCGTAAATAATAATTATCTGACCTTTTTTATGTTTCACAGTTTCGTAGACTATTGGACTCATTATCATAGTACTTGAATAATGTCATTGTCATTTTGGAATAATATAATAAATTAATAATGGCTATAAACTTTTTTCGAATTGATAGATTTTGTTTTGAAAGAGATGGTATCACTGTATGAGGCTACGGTCTATGTCAACACTCAACGTAAGAAATTCAGTTGACTTTCAGAGGTCATGATGTGTGAGTGCGACGCATTTATTTGGATTAATATACCCCCAAACTGAAAATGCAGTCGCAGGAGGAGCAAAGTTCAGCATGTGCATGCACCGTATGTGATCTACTAAAGAATTCTTTTAGATCTCGTGACTTTACAAGTAAGAAAGTTATTGTGGAAAATGGCAGGGGGATTTTTATCATCGATGACTGATTTTAATTTTTGCTTTCTCTTAAATCTTTTTGCATCATTTTTCCCATTGTCAGATACACTATTTGATATACTGCAAGCAAAAATTCATGATGTTGGTTATTGTGTCAAAAAAGTGAATGATTTTCGCCTGGCTTTGGAACAGAAGAGAGAAGAGTTTGAGAACATTTGGGAAACAACAAAGAACTGTGATCACATAAATGAAAATGAACCCAGATTTAAGAGACAAAAAGGAAATGTTGATGTGAAGACGTCATTCTCACGACTTTATGTAGAAATATATGACACGATACTTAACCAGGTTAATATCAGATTTGCAAATTTGGATTCATTAAGATTCTTAGAGCTTTTACACTCTCCATCATTCTGTGAGTTTACTAAGTTTGGGCAATTTCCAGAGCTTGCTTTTCAATCGCTGAAGTGTAGCTATGATAATTTCTTTGATTTTTTATCACTGAAATCGCAACTTAGAGTTGTTTACATGTCAGAGGAATTCAAAGATAAAACTATAACAGAAATTTTAAGTTTTATAAAGCTGAATGACTTGGAAAAGGCTTACAATGAAGTAGCAAGACTTTGTGAATTAATTTTAACAGTTCCAGCAACGACTGCATCTGTAGAGCGCAGCTTCTCTGCTTTGAAGCGAATTAAAACGTACTCAAGAAATTCTCAAGGTCAAGAAAGATTGCAAAGTTTAGCCCTTCTATCAATTGAAAAAGAAGTATTGCATAATCTCAGAGCAAGCCAGAATTTTA